AGACTGGAATTGGGCTACAACCTTTAATGTTATGTTTTTTCCATTAGGTTTCTCAGCACCACTGTTGGTAACACAAGACTTTGAAAAAAAAATGTTATAATTCAAAAGGCTATGGATAGAGTTGCTAACTTTTTTCTTTTGACAGTGCTCCAGCACAGTGCCCTTAATAGCAGTTTGACAAATAGAGAAATTTCCTCATCAGTCCAGCTCCAAGCCTTCGAAAATTTCACCCGCTAAATTTCTACAGGTCAGACAACTGTGAAAGGTATAGGAGTTGTGCCAAAAGAGGAAGATGACTCAAGCTGTGGCTGTTGCCCAGCAAGAGGAGCTGGCATCCATTTTTCTCACATAAATTACCTCCCTAATATAGTTTGCTTAAGGGAGCCATTCACTTAGAAAGAATTTTGAGAACAAAGTTCTATATAGTAGTTATGAAGATCTACATTTTGGCTTGTCTCTTGGAAAGAAAAAGTAAGAGAATGTTTATCTGGCTGTTTAATTCTTTTCCCCAAGGAGCTTCAAGCATGTCCTCTCCACCATAAGTATAATACATATTCCACTCTGTAGACTATAATACAAACTCTGTAGAGAGGTCCAAGATGCATAATTATCCCCTCACAAGAAAAGAGAGAATAAACATGTATATTGGGCTTCCACACATACAGCCCTCTGTGTGCATGAGAATCACACATTTGAATGTATAAGCATCTGTGTGCATAGGGATCCACATTCAAACTAACATTTCAAAGAAAGCAATGCAATGCAAATAGGTATCATCCACACTCAGATGTACATTGGATGCATATTTTGATATTTATCTAATTTATGCTGGTGATACTTGGATGCTTGATGCACATAGATCAGGGGTCAGCAAACTTTTTCAGCAGGGGGCCAGTCCACTGTCCCTGAGACCTTGTGGGGGGCCAGACTATATGGGGGGGGGATGAACGAATTCCTATGCCACACAAATAACCCAGAGATGCATTTTAAATAAAAGGACACATTCTACTCATGTAAAACACGCTGATTCCTGGACCATCCACGGGCCGGATTTAGAAGGCGATTGGACCAGATCCGGCCCCCGGGCCTTAATTTGCCTACCCATGACGCTTGATTGAGCACACAGGTCTCCTTAGAAGGGTCAGGCATTTGTTTTGTTTTTAAGAATTAAGTTGCTGTAGCCTCAGTTGAAAAGGAAAGACTCACTGCCATTGCCTCAGAAAAAGTACATAGTCACGTTCTCTAATATACAATGCTGAAATCAGTCCTAGACTTACCTTACGAGCATTGCGTCAAGGGCAGGAGTGAGTGAATAACTTGGGTGGCTATTGATTTTACGTATAGATGGAAAGTTATCCGACAGCACTTTTGTACTGTTTATGGAGAACCATGAGACAATCCTGCCTATCCACAGGATTTGCTTAAATGATTAAAAAAAATTATCTAGTGAAATACAAGTGGGATTTAAAAAAGCCACATTTACCCATTCAGTCATAATAAAAGATGCAATGTTTCCCAGTAGAACCTGTGGAATAATTAAACTAATTTTCCAAAATTATTCTAGTGTATTCAATTACATATTTTAATTACTTTAGAAAAAACAACTCGCAATGTTAATGAAGGAGACAGTAGTAGGAATCATGGTAGAGGACAGGTTTCCTGTTCATGCATTCCAAAAGCCTTATTAGAAAATGTAAATCAAATATTTGATGAATACTAAGAGCCTTTGGGATGCTACAATTAACATTACCGTTGTGACACCAGGAATCAGGTTGAAATATAACTGAAGTCAGTTAAGGTAAGTGGATTTCAGTGCCAAAGGGAACATTAGCTCTTTTAAAGAGCCCCCCTAGAGATTTGCCTGGCATTAAAAAAACATTTTAACTACACAGAAATTGTGATGTAAACCAACCAAGGCTCCTAGAAATTCAAGTTAAAGCTCATCTATGGCCTTTGAAGCTATGGCTGGAAACAATAAAGCATAACTGTGTTAAAACATTCCCAAAAAAGCAGAAGAACACTTGATTTGAGTTCCCTTTGTCCAAATAATAATTTATCCAACCTTTGTAAAAAAGAAAACAAGAATGGCTTTGTGCTGGTATCATTGGATATCAACAATACATGTAAAATTTTATACTTTGAGGACTGCAGTCCCATTTTTGTTGGAATCATGCATTTTTATATTAATATTTTAAGCCACTTGCCCATCAAAAGATGAAGATGGAGATCAGAAATCCAACTTAAAAACAATATTCATATAAAGAGTAAACAAGAACAACCACCAAAAAAAGAAACACAGCAACAAAAATTTGAGCAGAAAACCAGGGGAACAAATGAAAACATCCTGATCTATAAACCTGACAAATCAAAATTGTTTCCAAGGAACATTTAAAATGCTTGTCATTTGGGGGCCATTTGGAATTCTAAGGAGAGACAGTTGCATAGCCTAAGTGCCACCACCAAAAAGGCCCTGTCTCATGCCCAAAACCACTATGATCAGAAGTAAATGGAGAGCTCCAGAATCTACAACCACCAGTCACAGAAATACACCACCTTCTCTGCCTCCCCCACTCTGCTTTTTTTTTTTCCTTTTAATTTATGGAGAGCTTGGAGGTGCTGGCCTGAAAAAGTAAAAAACAAAAACACACTTTCAGAGCTCCAAGGCACTTCCAAAACTTTGGGAAGTGGGGGAGTCTATATTGTGGATCACTATGAATATTACTTTCAATGTGGCCCGGAAAAGCAGTACTATTTACCTTAAATTTGTGCCTTGTCTAAAGCTTTTGCACAGCCTCAGTAGCTATCATCCCTCCATGCCCTTTTCAGCAGAAGCTTTTTCAAGACAGCAAATGGTGATGAATATTTAAAGATGCTTTTTTAAAAAAGAAAACTTTGAAAAAATGTTTTGATATTTATATCCCACCCTTCAACACATTATCAGGACAGATTACATGGTCAAGGAATTGAAAAAACACACACACAGTTAGAACACATTCACAAATCAAAATTCCAAAAATTTGGGGAGAAATTAGGATGAGGAGTATTTTGGATGCATTCCTAAAAGGTCTTGCATGTCCTCTCTGCCCCAGCCAGATATTTATTACAGTCAACTGACCAGCAATACAGAATCCAAACAGAAGAAGCCCGTCACACCTTTTTCCTTGATCAGACCTTGTCAAGAAGTTTGTGGATTTTCCTGTCTGTTGCTATGCAGCCCCCTTCCCTCGAAAGCTGCAAGGCATATCATTCATGATTGCTATGGGAGAGCAATTTTCACATGGCTTTGTGTGTGAAGGGGGTTACTGTCAATCTTCAAGTTACTCTTCCTGAGTTACTTTTTCCAATGCAGTCTTACTGTCTTTTGTGAATATTTGCTTATTTACACATTTATGGGCTCAGAAGGGACACATGAAAAACAACTGGCTGATTAGGTAGCTTGTTTGTTTCCAAACACAATTCAATCTATTGGTTATGATGTTTAAAGACCTATAGGATTTGGGACCAGGATATATAATAGGCCACCTTTTGCCGCACAAAACAGCCCACCTAAGAGTTTCTCAGCGCCAATCACACTCTAGACTCAAGATGGTGTGTTCAGGCAGCTTATAGCAAACCATACGCTCCATCAACCAGGCAGCATTATTTGAGGTCGGAGTGGGGAACAGAATATGATATTTCCACTTCATCTATCTTCCTCCTGTTAGGAGTTCAGCCTACACTTGAGTAGGAGCCTGGCAGAGACACATGCCTGACTGACATGTTCTCTCCCTCCTGGTTGAGGAGCTTCAAAAGCTTTCTTCTGCCCGAACATCACAGCAACCAATGTCAATAGACACCAACACACTTAGGGATCTGCAGTGTCTTCACAACTTGTGTGACAGACCTCAGCAACTTAGCATTTTGGCTAATCTTTTAATTTAATTACATATAAACACACACGGAGCACTGCAGCATGGCTCCCTCCCTCTCTCTCTAGCATCAGACAGCAAAGAGAAAAGGAATAAAGGACAATAGTCCTACTTCATGGAACACAGTAACACAAACATCCTGTCTCCGTCAGTTCCCACTCTGTGGAGTCAAAACATATACTGTCATATGATAGACAACAATCCCATGACTGCAATCATGGAGCAGGAATTCTAACATCCTCCCCCAGTTCATGAGCTGTGCTGCAGTCATCTGTGTAACTGCAACAACCATACAGATGTCATACACACAGTATACCCCTGTAGCACCCGTTCCACCCTTGGAACTACCTGCAACTGGTTTAGCCTTGGGCCTCCCCATCTTGTACTTCTGACTAGTCTTGGCATCATAGCTCTTATCCACTGCTCTTAAGGTAAAGCCACAACAATAAGATACAAAAGAAAACCAAACCTAGAATGCCTGGAAGATTAAGATGGCTTGTCCTCTGAGGATTTTTACTAACAGATCTGGTTTTATAGAGCGCACAAAGCACTACACTTAACAATGCATGTGAAAATGTTGCATAGCCACACAACACTCACGACATAGAACACAACAAATTGCTCACAAAACTACGGGGGGGGGGAATGATAAATAAATAAATCAAATCCTCTCTTTGGTAAGAAACCTCTACACTTATCTCTCTGAAATATAGCAGGTTTCATCCCCTGAGAAGAGCCTACATTGCCTGCAGTTTCCTTCAAATGGGGGGGGGGAGCCATTTATTGATGTTCTCATTCTAGTCAATAAAGAAGCCATCCAAGTCTTCAGAAAATGAGGTGCCCTCAGCTCCAAGATGAAGCACAATGTCTGTCCAAGCCTCTGAGGGCAAGGTGACCCGGCTGTCCAAGTGAGTCAGGTTCCAAGCCCATTTTTGTTTTTTATACAGCCCTAACAACCACTGGCTCATTTGAATTACTCAGCAGCATAATGTAGCTTCTAAGTGCACATTCCTTCAACAATTTAAACCCCCCTTTGCCTAAGAATAGCATTCTCTACTGCCTCTGAACAAAAACATCCAGAAAATCTCTTACCTTCTAATACCATTTTCATTGTATTGTTCATTTCAGCCAGGGTTGGGAAAAGGCCACAATCTCTGAAGAATTTAGGTAGCTCATTTCTATCCATCTCTTTCAAGAAGTCTCTCTTGGTAAACATTGTTTCGTAAACTAGAATGTAAAATAATGTATATGTACATTTTTATTAGGTGACAACTTTAACAAATCTTGAATTTTCCGTATCATTTTAAATCAGATTTTTTAAAAAATAAAATAAACAGTATTTATGAGTAGTATTTTTCAAAATACTAAAGTTAACAGCATAGTTGCATTACCTTCTCAAATGCAAAACAAATTATACAAAGCAAAGAATGAGTGGGATGAGGTGTCATCCACACATAGCATGGTATAGGGGTGAAGTATACTATGGGAAATGGTCTTTCAGGAGCTCTTGCAATTGCAGGTCTTAACCCTCCCATAGACTATAACTCATTGCATAAATAGGAGAGAAAGCTGGAGAGAGAGAAAATTCTCTTTTCTCATCTTTCATTGATTCCACTGCTGCTCCTATTCCCTACCAATGGACAAAAGAAGGAACAGGGAAGTGCTTTGGAGGGCTGGGGGTAGGTTGTGGCTTTGGGGGGCCAGGGAAGTAGGAGAAGCAAGGAGGGTGTAGGAGTTCCTCTCTTTTGTTTAGAGGTGTTTTTTTCTCAGGTTTTTTTTTATCTAACTCTGGAGCAGGGAAATTGAAGGTGGGGTTTTTGAACCCTGAAATGTCATATCCAAGTCAGGCTCAGGTGAACTCCCACAATATCCCTAATTAAAAGGAACAGGAAAGCCTGCTTCTTCAGAGCACTCCATGTGTTTGTCAGTGTGAACACAAATTCAAGAACAGGATGCATTTTTTATTTTATTTTATGGATCAGCTTTAGCTACTCAAAACGATTTTTCTAAAGCTGAGTGGTTCTTATTCAACAGCCATAAGTGCTCAGAGCAAAATAAAATAAATGCATTCTGTTGTTATACAGAATTATCTCCAGATGAGATATAGGTTCAATTATAGTGTTTATGAGAAGACGCTGGAAACTTAGGTCTGACGCCATCTCCATAGGTGAAATCAAACAATGTGAAATCAAACTCTATTTCCACTCAGGCCAACAAGGCTGTTAGCTCATCAAAACTGAATGTATAATATTCTTCCTCCATGTCATCTCCAAACTCTGGTGCCTGGTAGACACCTTTGTGGAGTTTCAGAGCTTTCAGGACTTTTGAAATGGGACTAGAACTCATTTAAGAAAACATTTGGGACACCATGCATGAAAGCGTTGCAGAGGAATGATATGACTACTAGGGGTGGGAGTGAATTGAGTCACCAAAGCCTGTTTCTGAAGGCTGTGTATTTCTTCTCGCCATCAAGCAATAGAAGAACAATCTGAAGGGGAGGAGCCAAAGTGCTCCTTTCTTGTGACTAATCACCTAGGGCACAGTCTGTGGCCATCAAGATCTGCAGGTCCAATAAGAATATAAAGAATTATATAACTGGACCTCTTGTTAATGCTGTTGATTATGAAACCTGAGACAGTGTAACATAAAAGTGTGTGCCTTGGTAAAAGAACAGTCTTTCTGGATATAATAGTTTACATTTTTTTATCAGTAATGTGCTTGTTTTATGTAAGTTTTAACAGTGGATTTGTGATATTGCTTTAAAAAGTGTGGGGGTTGTGCAGTACTTTTAAACTATTTGTGTTTCATAATGGGTAATACCAAACACTCAGGTAGTCCCGGACTTATCTCTCTGTATCTAAATCTAAAGAGAGCAGAATTGAGTCTGGCCCCCCTGTTTCTCCAACAATCCCCTTTGAGTTTTAACGTTCCTGTTAGATATCCTTTTGCAGTATTTGATTCAGGTACTACAGGGTTGGCAGTGGCTTCCGACCAAGCTGCCACACTTTCACCTGAGGCATTTAAAGCTGCTCCTACACCTGACTCGGATAATGTCGTTATATATCCATACCTGAGGCAGCTAAATTTGCTCCATCTAATCCAATTTCTAATAGTGAGGATGAGAACATTTTGGGTAAACTGTGTTACAGACTACAACTCTGTGCCCAGGTAGAGTGCCAGTCCACCTGCTCCCAATAATGTCACAGTGTTGTCAGGTGTGGAAAATCCAGAGTGAGAAATCAACTTGTCATTGTCAAAAGTACACTTACAAGTCAGGGGGAGGCATGTCCATCAGTCCTACTCTCTCATATAGTCCTAGGTGTGCACCTGATAAGGCAGTTGCCACAACAGAGGCCCTGCCCCCAATCTTGGCTTGTGTATGCTCCCTATTTGGGCTGCCCAAAAGCAGGTGAAGACTCTGCCTCTGTGTAACTGAAATATACTCAGAGTCGAGAGTAGATTTCATGCTCTTTATTCAGCTCATAGTGGTGAGGAGGAATGGAAGTTCCCCCAGAATGTCTGCTTTATATACACTATTTACACAATGGGCCCCAAGTGATTGGCTAATTCCGGGATTCACCTGTAGGCCAGTCAGGTTGCGGATTCACTTCCACCTGGAGCTGGATTGGGTGGCTCCTGTGGACCAATCAGACTGCTGCATCCTGAATCCTATTGTTCTAGGACCAATCAGATTGCTGCTTTTTGGATCCTATTCAACTCAGTACATAACAGTAACCTTCTGCTCCTTCCGCTTTAATCCTCTTATGGTCCAGGAAGACAGTGGAGTAAGAGAGGTGGGGGCAGGAGGAGGCGGTGTAGAAACCCTGACTCTCCACCAGCCTAACTTATCGTTGCTTCCTTCACTCTCCAATCCTCCTGCATCTTCTCTTGCCTCTGCCTCTTGTCTTCTGGCTGTTACAGGTTCCCCCCATTCACTGATCCCTTCTTCCAAGTCAATCTCCAACTCCACTTCTCCTGGTGCCCACCCCTCAGTATCCATCCTGTCCCTGACAAATAATATTTCATGCCTTGTCAAACTATGTATATATTTCTTGCTACTGTTTCTATATAAGGCAGAGGGCCTTCTCAGTGGTGGCGCCCACCCTGTGGAATGCCCTCCCACCAGATGTCAAGGAAATAAACGATCCGACTTTTAGAAGACATCTGAAGGCAGTCATGCTTTTAATGTTTGAAGTTTTATTCTGTTTAATATTATTGTGGGAGCCACCCAGAGTGGCTGGGATAACCCAGCCAGATGGATGGGATATAAATATATTATTATTATTATTATTATTATTATTATTATTATTATTATTATTATTTCCATTTTCACTATGTTGATTCCTCCACTACTGCAGTCTGCATTCAGAGAAACAGGTCTGTCTGTCTGTCTGTCTCTGTCTCTCTCTCTCTCTCTCTCACACACACACACACACACACACACATTCCCTGGATATGCATGTACTGATATAAGATATTCAGTGGTTAACTTCATCCTTTTTATGTGTAACTGTACCTATTAATATTTTGAAGATGTAGGCAAATTCTAAGAATTGGGCCGGGGGGCAGGGAGGCTTGGTAATCTTATCATTAAATAAGAGGTAGTCACTGGGTTTTATTTTATTTTTTTCATTTCATTTTACAGGACAAGCTTTCTACCAGGATGCTGAGGGTAGCCAACCTGCTATTTAATTCATCAGCAGCCAACTCATATTAAAGGTAACACCAACACCAAATAGAATTTGCCTACACCCACCCACATCAAGGACTAACACACACACACACAATTCAGAAAATAGTATGAAAATTGCAGATTTCAGCCCAGCACTAGATCTCCTTGCTGTCACTAGATATATTCACTGTCAACACAGAATGGTATGATCACTGCTACTTCAGCTACTTTACTAGTTCCACTGCTTAACTTTAAAGTAATACTTTATATTTATCTATTACCCCCTTTTCAACATTTAGCATCGCTAGTGTGATAGATGCTGCTATATCAAGCATAGACTGTTGCTTTGCCACATTGGCCATATGTTCACTCCATACTCTGTGCTGGAAAATGCCTGCCAAGCGCCTCATTTTCCTTTGTAGATGGACCTGCCTGTTTCTCAAGCTATCTCACTGCGAATACTCAGATTGAGTGACTTGCCAATTTGCTCCATCGCTTCCTATCGCTTGCCAGTTTGCTCCATCATTTCCTATCTGAGGGTCAATGTAAACATTACAGCCTCCTCGTGGAGACTGCCAAGAAGACCTTGGCAGCACTCCACACAGTGCACATCATGTTTCAGCATTTGCTAATGCATGTGTCTCCTCAATCACATGTAGTTCCTGTGTGCCAGTGCCATTCCTGCCAAGGGCATGCCACACTGATACGCAAACGTGGCATGCCCTTGGCACTCAGTAAGTTGCTTTTGCATGCTGTGACCATCACCTTTCATGTGGAAAGACTTTGCGGGCAGCTTCCATAGGGGAGATACAACATTCAGACTGGAGCTGAGCTAGCACAAGACTACAGAAGACTGTGGTGAACCTAGGAATGCTACCAAACAGCAGTGCACAGTAATTTCCACTGAAGAAGCTGAGGGCAAAGTGGATGCTGAATATTTCCTCCACCTGTCACTCCCTATCCCCTCCCTGAGTCCCTTTCTCAAAACTTCCCTCCAGCTGGACTTATTTCCCATTTTGAATACCAGACTGGAGTGGGAGAAGCATATGGAGAAAGGAGTTGGGGGGGCAATAAAACAATGGACAGCATTTTCAGCAAAGCTCTTCCACCCTGTAATGGTAATCACTAAATCCACCCCACCCCCTGTGCTTTATTACTGTTTGGTGGTGAACTGCATTGGAAGATATAGGACTCCCACCATCCCATGCAGTTCTAACCACAGAACCTGACAGAACACACAGTTGTGCATCTCAGTACTCAATTAACTAGGAAGCTCCTAGTGTTGCCTAAATCAGGGGTAGCCAACATGGTGTCCTCCAGAAGTTGTTGGGACTGTCATCAACCCCAGTGGCTAGGGATGATGGGAGCTGTAGTCCAGCAACATCTGGAGGGCACCAGGTTGACTACACCAGTCTAAACTGGCCAGCAGGTGCTTCCCAGGGTCTCAGACTGGGTTTCCCCCATCATCTGCTACCTTATCCTTTTAACAGGAAACTTGGGACAGTGTACCTGTGTTCTACCAGTGAGCTATGGTACCTCCACATAAGAGTCTCATAATGTTAATACAGTGGTACCTCGGGTTAAGTACTTAATTCGTTCCGGAGGTCCGTTCTTTCTTTTCTTTTCCAATTCATAAAGAAGAGTGTATTTTATTTCAGACTTAAAACAAAACTATTACAGCATTCCAAACAGCGTTCCTCTTTACTTTCTTAGTCTTATGTTCCTCTCTCTATCTCTGCTACCACCCCACACTCAAGGACCAACTGCCCTAACTGTCTCTCTATTACCAACTGCCTTTCCCAACCAGCCAACCCACCCAAAAACCAACCAACAGGTCCGTTCTTAAACTGAAACTGTTCTTAACCTGAAGCACCACTTTAGCTAATGGGGCCTCCTGCTGCCACCACGCCGCCGGAGCACGATTTCTGTTCTCATCCTGAAGCAAAGTTCTTAACCCGAGGTACTATTTCTGGGTTAGCGGAGTCTGTAACCTGAAGCGTATGTAACCCGAGGTACCACTGTACATAAGCCTGTATTTCATCTATGGTGGAAAGGTCTTTGAAACAATACTGTAAGCTTTGGAAAGCACAAGAGATGGTTGCATTTTCTGGAAATCTGAAATACTGAGATATAGACAGCATTTTAAAAAGCAAGAGGTACTGCAATTTCAATAATGGTTTGCTCTGAAATATAATATAATATAACCAATACATACATCTTTTGTGGTCAAGATAGTCTTCTATTTGATCAAATATTAGGGGTGTAGTTGGATCCAAGATTCCACATCGGCGTTTAATGCGAAACATCACTTTGCGATATTCCTTTACAACAGCTAGTAAACTTGGTCCATGGCTCCTAGCCTACAATTACGCAAATATTTTGTTTTCATTTATTTAAAAGGGAAAGGATTATAAATTATTAGTGTGTAAGGTAAGAAACTCTTAGAGGTGGTGAACAGAGACAAATCCCTTGCAAGTGTGTACAACCACAACTATGTCACACATACATCTAAATGAATGTGATGAGGCAAGTATCAAAGTCTGTTCAAACTATTGCAGAAGTTCTACAAAGCAAAAGTGAAAAAATAAAACAAGAAGCAACAGGTGTTAGTGTTTTGGTAGGGGGGGGGGGAAATATTACCAATCTGCAAGAGCAGACACTGAGATACAGGAGAACACAAGTAAATACTATATGTACCGTATTTTTCGTCCCATAGGACGCACCGGCCCATAGGACGCACCTAGTTTTTTGGGGGGGAATAAAGGGGGGGAAATTCCTTTATTTCCCCCCCCCCAAAAACCAGGTCGGGGAATCCAAACCAGGTCTGGGAACAGCGGGATGGCAGCGTTGCGCCTCCCCGCTGTCCCCCGAGCTTGTGGCGCTGCGCCTCCCCGCTGTCCCCCGAGCTTGTGGGGCTGCCCGATGTCTGCCTGAAGTGCGGGGCGATGTGCTTCAGCACTCCCTGCGCTCCGTGCAGCAGGCTGCAGATGTCTTCCCAAAGCGCGGAGCTGCGCCAAGCCCTGGAGCGCAGGCAGCTCCGCGCAACCCTCGGGAGCCCGGCGCAGCTTCGCGCCCGGCTCCGGAGGGTTGCGCTTAGCTGCGCCAAGCCCTGGAGCACAAGCAGCCCCGCGCAACCCACCGGAGCCCGGCGCGGCTTCGCGCCAGGTTCCGGAGGGTTGTGCGGAGCTGCTCCAAGCCCTGGAGCGCAGGCAGCTCCACGCAACCCTTGGCAGCCCGGCATGGCTTCGCGCCGGGCTCCGGAGGGTTGAGTGGAGCTTCCTGAAGCCTGGAGAGCGAGAGGGGCCGGTCCTCTCATAAAACTTCAGGACAATGTAAAGCAACATTAGAAAAAATCTTCAAAAGCAATGCAGGTAGATTAAAAATTACCATTAACTACAACCAGATATGGGGTACTATACATTGACCCAATTCTCATGTAATAGTAAGCCAAGCTACAATTAACGAGTAAGAATAGGGACACACAAATTGAAAAATCATATCTGCCTTGCCTCTCCCCCACACTACCCAGAAGTCATGGTTTGGCTTAGAGTTATGTGTGAACCTGGGTTTGTGACTTCTCTTCCCCAAACAAACAAGCCAGGAACACATGGTTTGTTTAGAGTGAGAAAAGTTTTGACCTTGGGTTCACACATAATGCTAATGCAAACCATTGCTTGCGTCTGGATAGCATAGCAGCAGCAGGACTGGGGAAGAAGGAAGCATATGTGATTTTCATTTTCTATAACAGCACACTTGATCATTCACACTAAGTCATACTTATCATTATATGCAAACCATTATATACCTGTAAAGGTAAAGGGACCCCTGACCATTCGGTCCAGTCGTGGCCGACTCTGGGGTTGCGGCGCTCATCACGCTTTATTGGCCGAGGGAGCCGGCGTACAGCGCAGCGTACAGAGCAGTGCACGGAAACGCCGTTTACCTTCCCGCCGGAGCGGTACCTATTTATCTACTTCCACGTTGATGTGCTTTCAAACTGCTAGGTTGGCAGGAGCAGGGACCGAGCAACAGGAGCTCACCCCATTGCGGGGAATTGAACCACCGACCTTCTGATCGGCAAGTCCTGTACCAATGTTTAAATTACCAATTGGTACCTGTACCTGTACCAATGTTTAAATAAAGGGCACAGGTATTATATCAGAAGCTGTGGGCCTTCAGTCTATTTTACTGAGATTGTGGCTTCAGGCAGTATACATTAAGCTACATAGAAAGCAGCCTTATAACCACATCAAGCTATTTATTTTACACACACACATACACACACACACACACACACACAGCGAGAGAGAGAGAGAGAGAGATCTACCATGCAACAAATCAGATTCCTGCCTATCAAATTGCTGGAATGATATAAGGGCCCCAGTCCAGAACATTTTGCCCCTCGAGGCAAAACAAAAACGCTGCCTCCTGCCACCGCCACCCCTGCTGTGCACCAGCCACTGCCCACTGCCACCCACCACTGCTGGGAGGTGGGCATTTGGGCACAGGCAGCACGTGCCTAGTGAAGGAGGACAAAGCCAAGAAGCACAGGACACAGGGTACAGGGCCAGAGCCTCCCGCACCAAGACAACTGCCTTGCCTTGTCTCATGGCAGTGCCAGCCCCGGATAATATTAATGCATAAGAATCTTCATGGTCAGCTGATCTACCTAATGCAAAGGGTTCATAGTTAAGCCTAAGCATAGCAATCCCAGCCACGGCATGTCACCTAGCTTCTGATACAATACCTTCAGCCTTAATCTGTGCATTTTGCAACGAACAAGCCATCCTCTGATTGTTTTCTGAATAATAATGGCAGATGAAATATATTTATCCTTGGTTTGTCTTTTTCGGAGGTTTTTGAAAGCTTCAAAGATATCCAAGTGTGGCCCAATCCTTTTGACTTTCTCGTGAACTATACTGAGCGTACGCCTTCTCCTACAAAATATTTTGTTAAAAAACAGAAAAAAAAGTTTAACATGTATGGAAACAAGGATGAATGCAAATGTTAACAAAATATACATTTCCACTGAAATACAGAAAACCATCTGTATTAATTGCATCCATCTGCATAAATTGCAAAGTTGCAATTTATACCCATTTCCTCTGAATCAATCTTTTTAAAGTTGAGACTCTAAAACAACTCCAACATTCACCAAATTTATGTGACTAATTTGAATACATGGGTCATCCTTAAATCTATATTATTTTCCATGCCTTTCTTCACACAAACCCTTTTAGTGACTGCATAATAATAATAATAATACATACATACATACACAGACATGTGTTGGAAATAGTAGACTGAAAATTCAGGAGAACAACAGAGTAATAGTTTTTCTAAAGCAGTTTTACACCACTCTTCAGCCAAAATAGGTTCCCAGAGTAACTTATAGAGATCAGAAATGTCAGCCCACAGACTTCCTCTGTACAACTCAGTTAGTGCTCAGTCATTGTTGTTGTTTTTAATAACTTTTTATTAGCTATTTTAATAAGCATAATGCAAAGACTGGTCCTGCCTCAAACCCCAAGTGTTTCTCCCTGGCTCTCCCAGAGTTGAATGTGTCTTTATACTCTGATAATGCCTCTTGCTTGACTGGAAGGAGGATGGGGAACGGTGAGTACAGAAACCAGCCTCCTGTTCAAATGCACATTTGTTGTTCTGCCAACTTTTGCCTCTGGCCCTCCCCACCATCGGCACGTGGCCCTCAAATAGTGGCCCTTGCCCTTACTATACAGTAATCCTTCAGTTGGCAGATCTTCACCACTGGATTGTGCCTTAATGTAGAATAAAAGCCGAAACAAATTAGAATTCTAAATTCATCAGGTTTAAATGAAGCCCAATGTGGTTTTTCTAAGGTATAATATTTGAAATGACTTTTTAAAAAAACAATAAAAACTGTACTTTCATCTACATTGATATATATATTACTTGAATTAAACATTTTGGTTCAGCTATTGCCACTAATTAGTTTTGGCTGACTGTGAAGTATTTTGTATGCCCCATTTATAAAAGCTGTTTACCCATCTGTTAATAGGTTGGAAGTGATTAAGGGACATTTATTTTGGCTGTTGTAAAGGCCAAATAGATTTTGAGCTGAAAATATGTGACTAAACCAGCTGGAGGGGTTGCCAAGTTCAAAATCAGATGTCTGCCTCCTCCCTCTCCAATCACCTACCAACCCACATTCTCTCAAAGCAAATATTCTGCCTCCTTTAACAGGCCCAGCCTTCCTGTTTTGTCCAAATGTAATTTCTAGTGTAATTGCAATTTGCTTTGAGTTGGCCGGTGTCCTGTTAAACTGAGCCAAGAGGCTTCCACTTGCTGCACAGTGACCTTGAAGTAGAACTTCTGCTACATTCACTGAAATTGTGAGGACCTTCCATCACATATGGGTTGTAGGCCTACTGGGTACAGTTGCATTTTTTATTGAAGATGGCATTCATCTTTTGGTGGTCTTTTCTTCTAAAATGGAACAGTTAGAGGGTTATACAAAGAATGCAAGGTTTAAAAACAAACCACAGCATAAAGAACATACCTAAAAGTGATATGAAGAGAAAAGTTTGAACATGATGTTATTGAGAAAGAACACAGCAAGGGCTCTGCTGCTGCATCAGGCCAGATGTTTATCTAGTTCAACGTTCTTGTTAAGTTGTGGGTGAACATATCAGACGACACAGCGATTCTTCAAACAGCTCTTGTTTATTCACAGGCCAGAACAGAACTGAACTGAAGGGTTCAGCCAGCCTGCTTATATAGAGCTCCAGTACAACGTTACTGTAACAACTTTCTGTAACTATCCAATCACTGAACATCACTTTTGATCCCTTATTTGCATATGTGGACCTGAACTATCTACAGTATCCCCCTGCTAGCCCAGGGTGAGAACTTCAGTACATAACAGTTCTGTTCCCACAATGGCCAACAAGACAGCACACTCCCCACCTACAAATTCCAGCTACAGGCCTAGTGCCCCGCAACAGCTCACAGAATAATCATAGAACTGTACAGTTGGAAGGGACCACAAGGGTTATCTAGTCTAACGCCCTACAATGCAGGAATCTTTAACCCAACATGGGGCTCAAACCCACAACCCTGAGATGAAGAGTCCCATGGTTTGACAACTGAGTGGCCATCTACTTTTAGACAAAACACAGACAGATTTGGCCTAGACATGCTCATTTTTAGCTAAGAATTGATTGTGTGTGTGTGTGTGTGTGTATTTGTACTACTAGACACTTATTACTTTCATTAAATGCTTGGTTTGTTTAAAATATTTATAACCTGTTATTCGTGTTCAAAATGGTATCCCACAGAAGTTCACAACATAAATGCTTAAACCAGTAACATCATACAGCAGGGTAGAATTGCCTCTTATATTCTGAACGTAAGAGAGAAAGCTCAAAAGGAAAAACAAGAAATTATCACTTTTCTTCAAATGATTTGTTATCATCATCGTTTACATGTATAAACCCTTTTATCCCAAGGGATTGCAGAGCAGTATACAAATATTCCAATCAAATGCAAGATACCAGAACATAAATGTTAAAACCATAAAACCAATAACCATCACAACATTGTTCAGTAGAACACAGTGGGATTTACTTTTGAGTATATATGCATAGGATTGCACTGCACATTTCTTCCCATCCCAAAGATACATGCACTCTCAAAATCCACATTGCTTTGCAACCATTCTCTCTCTTCCAACCGACTCACTCACTCTTTTGGAGCGGGACTAAACAGATAAGGAGAATGAAGGGGAGAAAAAGAGGTTACGCAGGACTCCAAGAATATACAAAACACTGCCAGCCAACAGAGTATGACATCATCCACATTCATTATATAGTTCTAAAACCTTTCTTAAGTATTTAAGTGGTAGATTGAATTTATGCCACATAAGACAATTTGGATGTATTAAATCACTGATGGCCTACCTTTCGTGCCAAGTGTGTGTCACAAGTCAGGTTCAAAGTATGAGTTAGTGCCACTGCAATATGTGTGGAGTACCTGTGCAGCTTCCCTGCCTCATCCCAAGGTCATAGTGTCCCTTGTGTGATGTTGTCTTGCCCAGTGACCTGGAGAAGTAGGCAGCAGTGGAGAGCAGGCAGGCTGTACAGGCCTAGCTCTCCTATCATAAGGCCTGCGGCTCTTTCTGTCGCTGTCCAGTAGCCATGTTTTCACATCACAAGAAGCCAGGATTCCTGGCTTTCCAGGACTTACTGTGAAAGAGCATCTTCCTTTCATGTGCACAGGTAAACCCAAATGAGGCTAGCTCGTTGTGGCATGAAAAGCCAGGATCCTGCCCCAGTTGTTCTCAAGCAAGTCAGAATTCATAAGCCAACTTCAAATCCTGATTTGCACTCCTGGTTTGCTTAAGAGTAGCAAACATAGATCTCAAGCTGACTATAACTGGATTGTTTTGAAAAAGGGGTGAGTGAATGGATTGTATGCGCCAGCATATTGTTCATCCACAGTAAACCAGTAATTTCAATTTATTGTGATGCGTGGACATGGAAAGTGTGTCTCAAATATGAACATAAGGAGAGCTTGCTGGATCCGGCCAATAGCCAATCTAGTCCAGCATCCTGTTTTCACAGTAGCCAACCAGATGCCTGTGGAAAGCACAACAGCAGAACCTAACTGAGCACAACCGCACTCTTCCCACTTTTGAATCCCAGCAGCCTGCAGCCAGAGCTGCTTGTGCAATTTTCTGGAACCTATACAAAGCATTAACCATCCATACATTTCCTGCTCTTTATTCACCAACATAGTGTAAGATCTTATAGAGCAGGTTGCCCACATGTGAAGCTATGAGGAGGCAGACAAATGGCAAATAATATTTTGCACTGAGATTTCAAGTGTTCTATCGGTGCTGAAAGACGGTTCGTGAATGCCAGATATTTTTATGCCACCTACAATATTAACCTTAAAAATTAAAAGAAATCCATCAAAGGATCGTCACTTTCTTGGTACCATTTTACTGGAAGTTCTGTCAGCCTACTAACTTTAGTGATTCAGCATCTTTGAACTTCAGCAGATGAAAGGATTATCGCTGAAAGCATATTAATCTGCTGAGGATTAGCAGCAAACTGTTGGAGGACTTGAACAGAGAATAAATGGTTTATTTATAAACTGCAATAGGGTAGCAAAAAAATTCATACAATTTGTGCTGAACGAGAATGCAACATTTGGAGCACTAAAGCTGAAAGAGGCAGAAACCAACATATGAACAATGTACGTGAGCTATACCATATATATTTATGATGGATCCAGGCAGCCCAGTCCTTTTATGAAAGGATGATATGGCTTTCCAGACTGTCACAGGGCCCAAGCTTAAGTCTTCTACCTCCCTTTGTCCCACTCTCTCCTGTTTCCTGCAATTGTGAAGGTGGGGCTATTTTATTTATCTGCTTTGAATAGTAGCTTCACAATTTCATTAAGAACAGAGATTCAAGAAGCAACTGTTGAAATAAAGAATCGATCCAAACGTGGTTTAGGGGAAGGAACTGAGTACAAAGGTATGTAGCTCTCTTGGGGCTACCAGCTAAACATACAGAAACCAGGATGATGCCACACAAATGAAAATATCAAGGATCCACTCCAGGGTGGAATCTACACACATATTTAAAAAACACACTGTGAAAATGCTTTTTTAAAAGCGTTTTGAAAAATACATTGAATTTGGCATAGCGCACTGTCACCATCTAGTGCCACATTTTTATATTGCACTTTACAACACATTTAAAATGTTTTATTTGCAGCTGTATTGCTGAGTCCCACATCTTTCAGAAAAGTTGCAATTTTGTGATAGAAAAGGGGGTTACATAATACTAGTAAAGGTAAAAGGTAAAGGGCTTTTTTTGAATTAGATCAGATGTTTTAACGGCCTCCGCACAAGAAATAAACAGAAACCATGGTGCAATATACTGTATTTGCACAATGATAGATCTGATCATATAAACCAGGGGTGGGAAACTTGTATCCCTCCACATTTTGTTGGCCTTCAACTCACATGAGCCCCAGCCAGCATAGTCAGGGATGGTGGGAGGTACCAGGCACCCACATTCTGTAGCAAGAGGTCCCTGGTCCTTGATACCAGTGGGGTAGCGTGGGGTGCAGGGGGGCCGGCCGCACCGGGACGCAACATCTGGGGTAGGGCAAATCCACAGGTTAGGGGGCGCAAACCACGGGTTAGGGGGCAAATTACTTGCCTTGCCCCGGTGCTGACAACCCACGCTACGCCACTGCTTGATACAAATAAATATTTCAGTAAACGCGGTTTCAAGACAGACTAATTAAGGAAGGCATATAATTGAAAATGCAAAGCTTGAAGCTTATGTATGTCAAACTGATATAAAATAGGCTTAGGCACATTAGGGGGGAAATGCACTTTCTTCTGTTTTCATTTGTTACATTTTGTAATGCGTTCTTGAACGGAAGCTGAATTTAAGAATACTAAACGGGAGCATTAAAGGGTTGTTCCAACTTTTCTGATAAACATTGTGTCAGAAGGTTGGGTGAAAAATGTGACATTTCGATTCTTTTAACACAACCAGCTTGCAAAATGTTAATGGCATGACACAGCAGAGGATAGTACCAACCACTGATAATGTCTGTCTCTGTTTTAGTGTCAGGTAATGGCATAGCCCAATCCAGCCCAGTCCTTGTCCACTAATGCTCTCCATATGGTATGCATGCCCTTCACAGACTATTGGGAAGGGGGAGAATAATCTCATTCCAGAGTGGAGTTCTGCACACCCCAGTGTTCCCCTGAATTTATTGGATTTATTTTTTATTTGGTTTTACCCTTTGGATAGGTTGACTTTATAGGAGCCTTCTGGTCATAGGAAACAGAAGGCATCTGTATAAATGCCTTCCTTTATTCTCCCCAAACCCAATTGGGAACTGTAATTCATCAAGGTTGCTATTCCCCTCACAGAACTACAATGCCCACAGTGGATTAACAAGCAATTTCTCTTCCCAGGGAACTCTGGGAATTCTGAGGAGAATAGGTTTCTGCCAACAACTCTCAGGACCCCTAAGAAACTACAGTACCCAGGATTCTCTGGGGGAAGCCATGATGGTTTAAAGTGGTGTGATACTGCTTTAAAGGTGTAGTGCAGATGAGCCCTCAGTTTAAAGAGAATAGCTAGGTATTAGAGCGATAGCAACTCCCAGGCACTCTTCCAGTGGTTCACTCTGAGAAAGGACTTTCCCTTTGCCATTTCTCAGTGTAAGGGGCTGAGGGTAGGAGGGGAGGCATGGAGACTGCCACTACGGCAAAATAAACCTAAGAAGGGTGGAAATAAAAAGGAGGCATGGAGTCATAGAAGGAAGAGGACTTGGGGAGGCAGGGGCAGAATCTCTTGCCCCAGCCCTTGATGCTGTTCTCACCATTTCACATTATGACTCATTTGGCCTTCAAGCACCCCACATATTCAGCGGCTTGGGTGGCAAGTAGCTTGGCCTTCCAGCACAGCTTCTGTTTGCATGTTTGATGCCAATACTTAACAGCACTGTGTAACAGCCCTAGGATCCACTTACCAGTGCAGAACCTCTATATCCTGCAGAGTTGAAGTGCGCCTTAAATCGTTACCAAAAATAATTTGAACCTGTTCCTTTCTTTTGCTTTTGGAAATTTAAGATACTTGACATTTAAAACACACACACACACACACACACACACACACACACGGCAAACAATCCAATAGCAAACTAGGTTGTGTCCTGTTTCAGAAATATAATTGAAAGCACCTGTAAGATTTCTTTGAAGGCTTCGGAGGCTCTTCAGAGCATATTTTCACTTTAGTTTCTCGACGGCGCCGCTGTGAAGAAAAGGACCGATTAACAGAATTGTTCAGGAGACATGCATGAGTATTCACTGTGACAGATCTTTCATGGAACAAAATGGTCACAAAGGAAGGGGTACCCTTCAAATATATATGAGACAGGTACCTAACCACACATAAATAAATATTATTTTAAAGCATGGCTAATCCTGGGTGAAGGAAATTGTGCCAGAATGAGATCAATGCGCTGAGGATGTAGTAGCAATTGCAGTACTGCTGTCACACACTCACTTCCCTGTTCATGCAGGAATAGGAAGTTATATAAGAATGGGGGAAAGAAGTCATGTAGAAGAGGAAGCAGATGGCAAGAATTGGTGAATGGGGCAATTGAATTCACCAATTGCCTGGCTTTTAATTATATTTGTTTGTCAGGCCTAGGGATGCAATCTGATTCTAGGTACCTGTTCTGATTACAATTATAGACTCATCACCTGTACTGTTCAGTCCTTCAGTTGTTGTTGTTTTTTAAAAATATCATTATTGTTTACATTATTTATAATGATTTCAGAGTTGGCTGCAAACTCAGTGAGCTAGTAATTGCCCACTGAAGTATGCATATTGCCTCAGGAGTACTGTGTGTTCAAGTGATGAGGAGGAGCGCTCTCTCTCTCTCTCTCTCTCTCTCACACACACACACACACACACACACACACACGTTACTGTTTTTTGACATTTTTTATTGTCAGCTGGCTGGCATATTAACAGCCTATTGCCAAGCAAATGAGTGACGTGTTTCAATGGTTGTAGGTTTGGATTTTGCAAAGGGAAAAATCCCTCCCACATCACGCACCACCCTCCCACTGCAAAGAGATTGACTCCTCCTTGAGAAAGACACCTGAAGTATTCTGAGCTGAGCCAAGGTCACATTAGTTCTAATCACACTTGTGTATTTCCACACACTCATTCATCATCAATATTTTAGGATACAGAGGTTTTTCCTCTTGGTAATAACATGCTCAGTCATAATGGGACTTCCTATAACATTGCAATAAACAATGTAATTAGAAAATATATGCACCAAACTCACATTTTAACACTCCCAACAAGCAAGTAAAGTCCATTTTTGACTACATTAATAAATATGATAGATTTACATTAAGATGCATGCCAGGGGCTGTGCTTTCTGTGTCCATTCGGCTAAGGGGGTAGGCGGTATGTGAGAAAGGTTAACAATAAAATTCAAAACCTGAAGCGCCTGATTAGGCCCACAAGCCAGGGGTTTTCCAACCCTGTTGTACAGCGTTGAATTTGCAATGAAATATCTTTGGATGGCCAGGTTGAGGGCATAAAAAAGACTACCTTGAAGAAGAAGAAAAACTGTTTATCATTGTAAGAAAAATAGGACAAACCGAAAGCAATATTTATTCAGGCGCCACCCCTCTAATTATTGCTAGGTTAGAGTATGATCCCCATGTATTCCACTATACAATAAATCCCTTTAAATGAAGGGATCCCTTCTGTAAATGAAGCTATATACGATACTTCTGTAAATAAACCTCAGTGAATAGCCTTTCGCAGCTGAATGATTGGGTTCTATTTCCACAAATTCAGCTACAGAGATAACAGCCTCAGAGAGATAACATGTTAAATGCTCAGTAGCAAAGTTCAATAAATGAATTGGCTTTGTTTCTACATGAGATTTGCTGTTATCTCTTAAAGTGAGTTTGTTTAAATAATTACTTAAGGACTCAGAAGTTAACTACTCTAAATGAGGTGCTTCTCTCAAATTAAACAGCACAGTGCTAGCAATTTGCTTCTCTAATTATTATTATGACTTTAATTGAAGGAATATAGTATTCTGATTTTCCTCCAGTGAAGTGGTGTGCCCCTTAACTAGTGTTAATATTGATGGAACTGCTCTGATATTCTGAAGATATCATCTCATTGATTGTGGAACTGGTAAATTCAGCACCACGTAATATAGGGAACTTAAGTACACTTTTTTGTACCTAACACAGGGCATCTTAAAGAACAGAGTTCATATTCAGTGACCAAAAACCTGCAGTTTAAAGACCAAAGCTAAGGCTCTTATGTTGGCTCAAGCTCTACAAGCCAAGAAATTGGAAGCCAAGGCAAATGCCTTAAGAGACATGTCCCGTAATTAGGAATGATGTCACAAATTGTACTTACTTACAATTTACACTCCACACACCCACCTTCCCCTAGTTTTTCAGGCTCAAATTCAGATTGGGATGAAGATGTGCCTGGGAACAGCAAAGATGCCTCATGCTGTGGTCCTTATGAAGCAACTGGGCCTTACTGTACTGCAAAATAATTCTTCCCTTGCATGAGTTGGCCTGTACTTGTTTGTTGGATCAGGGTCAGTGTGAAGTAGTGCAAGGGGGCTTTCAGCACAGGGTGGAGTGTGTGGAGGTGTTCAGTGAGGGATTCTATATATATGAGAGGGTTCGTGTATGAGAGGAGATTATAAGTAAAATGTAATTGTGGTGAAGGCTTCAGTGTAGAGTTGGATGTTTGATTGTGAAGTTTCATAGTGCAGCAAGGGTGTAGGGGAGGAAGAGGGCAGCAACCCAGAACAGTAGCATAGGATGAGGGAGTTAAATCTCCACCCCACATAATTTTCTCTGTGAAAATCTCCACCTTTGCTCTGTTTTTTATTTGCCCCATTAGGAAAAACATATTTGCACGTCAAGTATGGCCTGAGGTTTGAAAACATACAGCTAAAGCTCACTAGGTTCACACATATGAACTCCTCTATTCTTTAATATGAACTCTGAAGACTTAAGATTGCTCTCCACAAGCATACACAGATCAAGACCACTCAATAAACTTCTGTTCTTCATATTCCGGCTCCATAGTGTCAGAGCATACTTCCTAAACTCTATGGGACGCTTCAGAAGCTGCGGGGAAATCCAACTATGACTTACCATCTTGTCCCTTTGCCTTTTCGTTATTGCTTTCAGTCTTTCTTGATGTTCCTTACTAGTGAGCGATGAGTATGGAGGCATAGTATCTGATAATACTACCCCTCTCCAGTCTTGGTATGTTCTTCCTATTGGGAAGATCACTGAAATTTACCATACATCAATGCCGTAATAATCAAGACAACACAACTTAGTAGCAAGATGTGTGTGGGCAAAACCACACCAAATGATGCAAACTGAGTAAAAGCATACTAGACTTTTATTTTTAAAATATTTCCAGTCTTTCTGTCTGATGCTATAAGGAGGAGAATCTGTGGAAGATGAGCCACATGCATCTGCCAGAGCTCTGAAAGAGGTCAATTTTCAGCAGGTAACATTTTTCCCATTACAGTTTTCATTGTAACACACCTGTGGATATTCTGTGACCTTCAGAGCTTCTAAAACAGACAGTGGATACTTTGGAATACATTTCTTCTGCCAGTCTGACACAACCCCCCCCCAAAAAAAACAACCCCAACCACGTTCATATTTCCATCTTTATGCACCTCATCTGTTCGTTCTTGGCTGCTGAAGGCAAAATTGTTAAACCAACCCTAGGAATCCAGCATGGACATCAGCATTGACAACTGGCAAGTAAAAGGCAGTAGAGGGCTTTATGCAGCATGAGTTATATCCATAGCTTCAGAAATGCTGAGCCCAGAAGCATGAGAATGGCCAGTCAGCTGACCCAGGTTTCAATAGAATTAAACACCAATTAGAACCATTACTGGGAAAGACATCAGGTCCTATTCAAATGTTTTGTTATCCTAGCAGAACCTGACCATGCCACCACATAGCTTCCAAGTGTCCCGATTTCCCAGAGACAGTCCAGGAATTATGAAAATCGTCCCAGCTTATGATCTGATCCTGGAATGTCCCTATTTCCCCCATCAGTGCAGCCACCATCAAGTTCAGGGAAAAGGGTGAGCCAACGCTTATCCCAAGCAGTGGTGGTGGTGACAGAGTTGGAGACAGCTGCGAGGGAGAATCCTATTGCCTCTCCGTGGCCTTTCCTTTTGCAGAGCAAAAGGAGTCTTGACTAAAAAAAGAAAAAAAATGCTATGTGTGTCTATGTCTAATAATGGCCCTTTCTAAAATATATTTATTGCTGTGTGTTTTTCTTTTTGTAAATCTACCGGAGAATAAAATAAAATCAGGACTGAAGGGTTTTCACAGGATGGTGGAGGGTGTGTGTGCTGTGTCCCATTGCTGTAGTGGTGGTGGGCCAGGGGCCAAAGATGGCCCTTCAACTCTAGCTCTCATCAACTATGCCCCTCTCCCCAGGCCACACCACTCACCAGACCTGCTTTAATGCCCCCCCTCTTTGAGTATCTTTGAGTGTGTCCTTGAACTCTGGTAGTACTTCTTGCTTGCCTAGGTGGAGAAAACAGAAAGCTGTTTATGTGTAAACTGCTGTAAAATTAGGATTTGCTGCTCCACGCATCTTTGCCTCTGGCTTCACCTACCCTTGGCACATGGCCCTCAAAAGCTTGCCCAGAAGGGAATGTATACCCTGATCTGAAAATGGTTCCCCATACCTGCTCTACCAAAATCAGAAATTATAGGGTTATGGCAGGCCCAGTTGGGTTGAATTACAAGGCCTATATGCTTTACTATGTCAAAGCAACAACACAAGTGCCATTTTTCTTGTGATGTTGTTAAAAAGATAAATACTATATCCTTATCTTGTCAGTGCCAGTCAAAAGCTCAACTGCAATCATTCCATACTTGTCTAATTCCCTTCCCCAAGTTAAACGCTTGCATGGTTATAACAGTAATCTAATCCTTCAGAGTCTTACTTCCGGCAAAGCAATAAAGAACTGGGAAGAACCAACCGATTTCAGCAGCACTATTCCTCGGTGACCATTTAATTCAAAATTTGTGTTATCTTTCCATAAACTCTCACAATAGTTTAATACCTTTTTAATTGGACATTTAGCTTTAATCTTTAGGCACTTACAAACAATTAAGTGCTGGAAGATAGAATTAACAGCTACCAGTTTATCTGTATAATTAGAAAAATGAGGAGGGAGGATCTTATGTCAGTTCAAATCCTAATTATTTGAATAACGGTGTCATGAAGGGTTGATTTGGACAGTTTAGATTTCACCTAATCGAGTTGTCTAAAACGAAAGAATATAATTGAATAGATCAACATACTGTATTTCTAAATAACTTGTATACAGGGCTGAACTCATGTTCATTTTCTTTTGAACTTTCCTTCTTTTGAAGGAAAATAACTCCATATTTGCACAAACATGGCTATGATGTCAAATCACTAAGTCATCTATAAAAAACCAATACATTTCATGTATAAGTTCTTGCAAATCAGAAATCATCTATAACAAAGAAAACTTGATAAGCACTGGATCTAAGAAGCTACTAGATGGAACAGACTGCAAAAGTGATCAGAATTCCAAATAGCATTGCAACTGATAATGTAAGATGCAATATGGCTATTAATGGTATGGTAATGTGTCATGTTTTTAAATGGCATTTATTTCCAGGAGGACTGTGGTATCTGAGAAACTGGATTTTAGCTGAAGAAGTAAGAATCAAATTGTGAGCAGGAACATCCCTTCACTGGGTGCCAATTCCACATGGTGAATAAGAGGTTGCAACAGACCTGCAGAATTCAGCCCAGCTCTTGTCAGCAATGTAAGGGGCCCAGAAGGCAGGTGGAATTCCCTCCTTCTATTCCAGGACCAGCAAATGTGATGCTATCCAGATGTTGCTGGACTACAGCTCACATAAATTCTGACCATTAACCATACTAGCTGGGGCTCATGGGAGTTGCAGTCCCTGTCCCTAACCAAGCCCTCTTTCAATTCTAGCAGCACATAAATGAACAGAGAAATTCAGTCAGTTGGGCTAGAGCAGAAGGGAAATAAATACGGAAGCACTCAGGCAAGGAGAGTTGTCTTCTAATTCCACGGAGCTTAAGAAGTTGGAAGGGAGAAGAAGCATAAACTGTGTGTGTTCCAAACACATGTTCTAGTGCCTGCTGTCAGTCCACCCAGGATGTCGTACTTCCGCTATTATGGTTCATCACATGCACTGGGTGTGCAAGGCACAAGTTCTCATCTCAGGTCAGGACACAAGTCAGCTACCGTATTTTTCGCCCTATCGGACGCACTTTTTCCCCTCCAAAAATGAAGGGGAAATGTGTGTGCGTCCTATGGGGCGAATGCAGGCTTTCGCTGAAGCCTGGAGAGCGAGAGGGGTCGGTGCGCACCGACCCCTCTCGCTCTCCAGGCTTCAGGAAGCTATCCCCCCAGCCCAGCAAGCTCCCAGAGCGATGCCAAAGCTGCGCGCAGCTTCGCCATCGCTCTGGGACCCGTTCTGGGGGCTGGGATCGGGGGAAGCTCCGGCTTCCCCTGCCCGCAGCCTCGTAAGCTCCGAGAGCGATGGCGAACATGCGTGCACCTTCGCCATCACTCCCCGATCCGTTTTGGGGGCTGGGGGTGGGGGAAGCTCGGGCCAAAAAATCTAGGTGTGTCCTATGGGCCGGTGCGTCCTATAGGGCGAAAAATATGGTAATTCCAACAGCACAGGCTGCGCAGGTGCAATTGGCTATATCGCACTCAGTATATGCCCCAACACTTCCTTCCCTTGTGCTATGCAGGCAACTTTATGACTACATTTCACCTCCCCCCCACCAAAAAAGTGCTCTCTGTATGCCCTTTCAACACCTACTGCATTCTTTTTTAAACTGTTTTCCCTGTGAATTTATTGATATGCCACAAGTCCAGTATCACAGTCTGCATTCACAGTTATATTGCACTTAACGTATGTCTAGAGGGTTCCTTTCCTTGTACCAGGCAAACAATCACATGACTGCATATCTCTTTTCTTTTGGCAGAGTACTCTAAATATCCTCAGAGTCTGCCTGTTCTGCCAGCATGCACGGCCAGCTACTGTCTGCAGGGCCTATTTCGTTGCAAGGCATTTGTGATCTGGTTTGCTCAGTGTCTCCCAGCCCTTGCACAAGACATACTGTACAGGAAACATCACACAGTTTGACTTATTGAATGAGGAGTGCCAAACAAAGGGGGGGAGCATTTTTTTGGATTCTATATGATCTACTTAAGTGTCACTATCTCAAAAGAGGCATTCTGTTTGTGTAAGAAAAAAGTAAGAAAGTCTGTTCGAAGAGGGTACCTGCCAGTCATGGATTTGTGGAGTACTTGAAAGAACAATTATTGCATTTATTTCTTATTAATTTATTTATTTATGAATTTATTTCTTATATATTGAGACACTCTTACAAACAAATGTTTTGAAATTAATTACAACCAGGTTAATTACAACGAATAAATTAATTGCAACCTAATTGACTATATAGATATATAGATATAGCTATCTTGCTCCCCAAATAATTGGGGCAGCTTTTTAATCAATCAAAAGATATTTAATTGCTTAGTCAACTAAATGTTGCAGCTGATATACATACAGATGAGCATATTTCAATCTGTTCATTCACATACACACACACAGAGAGAGAGAGAGAGAGGGGGGAGAGAGAGAGAGAGAGAGAGAACACCTGGCCCACAAAGTTAAGAATTTTCAGAATTGTTTCATCTTAAAACCAGCCAATTTGTGTAAGACTCACAGTGGCAGTGAGTTATGGTACTAAAAAGAATCAACAGTTGACCAAGTACAGCTCAATTTATCAAGCTAATATCCAGTTACCATCAGCCTCAGAATTATTTATGCAATCCAGTGCACCACAAGCAGAGGAAAAGGAACAATCAAGTTATACCACCCTAAAGTGCATACAGACCGAACCATTCAAAATTGCAGGGAGTGGAGCCAAGACCTATTTTATAACGAAAGGGACAAATTATGTGCCAATCGAAGCAGTCAATCCAGTGCCATGATAAATTCCATCCTACTCGTAGGTAGCTATATCTGTATCCGTTGAGCATGAAAAGAAAACCCACCCTGATCTGTCCAAGGAAATGTCAACAAGTGAAGTCAATTATACTAAAAGGAATGAGTCTCTACTGAGGCAAGGCAGGTACCTTCCATCAGTTCATTTCAACAGACGATTTCACTCCATTTCCATTTTGTTCTCTTAATTAGGCTGATACCATAATATCTGAGATACCTGCCAGAACAAGGACAAGTGCCAGCCTGCAATACCTCTAATGGCAAGTACTTCCTAACATTATAATTATTGAATGATTCTCATTTGGGGGGCCAAGCGACTAAGTGACCACGTTATGATAAACATGGCACTGCTGATAGGAATGGTTACTTTTAATAGCTCAAAAACATATACCAACATTTGCTCATTTCTTTATTTACAGGATTTATATCCTGCCCTTCATCAGAGGTAACCTTGAGGTGGGTCACAGCAATTTAAAATATGGCGGGGGAGCACTGGCATCCCACACTGAATGCACATTGTTGTGATGGGGGGGGGACACCTCTTCAGGTAATCAGGTCACAAGCCATTCAGAGTTGAATGCTTTGAATTAGGTTCATTCACGGATAAACAGCCAGGGCAAGTGTTCAAGAACTAATGTTATGGGGGAGTGGAAATGCCATCAGAACTACCTGGAGTTTCCAAGCCATCTTCAAGAATAGCCACATGTACAGTGAGTTACACTGAATAATCCAATAGCTGCCGTGGCACATAAAAACAATTTCAAAATAAGCCTCAAGGAAATATAGATAATAAGTCTGGAGGAGATATAAATAGCATTAGAAGCAATCAGCAGCATCTGATTGTAAAGCTGGCTTCTGTTCATCAAAAAACAAATATTAACCCTTACCACACAATAAAGGCCCAGAACACCCTTCTGCCTTAGCCCACAGTCATGTTACTTACCTTTGTGTACATTGAATATTAGCTGCTGGGAAAACAACAGCAGGGAATGGGCGACTGCACTTGTGTCCTGCTTGTAAATTTCCAATAGGCATCTGGTGGAGCACTATGGGAAACAGGATGCAGGACTAGATAGGCTTTGAGGCTGATCTTATGATCTTAGAGAACTATCGCCTCCATGTCCTGCATTTGGGATGTTCAGAAGCATCCAGCTGGCCACTGTAAGGAGGAGAAGGAGGCTGAACCAGGTGGACCTTTCCTCTGATCTAGCAGGTACTTCTTACTTCTTATTCTTTCTTTCTTTTTTCATTATTGGCCATCTATTACAGCAGAGAAACCAAATGAAGAATGGACTTTCCCCCTAACTCATTAACCTGACTCAGAGTATAGCATATTGATGATAAATGATGGCATTAATCTTAGAATATTAATTTCATCGAATTAATTTTAAAGCATTTGATTAATTTAGAATGGGTGCATCATTTTTATTCGCAGAGATGAAATATCCTTAAATGCACCAGTCAGTCAGCCTTATATTTTTAGCGAGTGGTGCTGTATCAAAGGTAAATCTTGTTTGTTTATTCTCTTCAAAATGTACCAGACAGACAGAACAGAGAAAAATAAAGCTTCTGAAAGATCACTCACAAAGGTTTGCTTTTCAGGGGTTGATATTACAAGCAATTAGCGTGACATTTAATAAATGACATTTCTAAGAACTGCTAGAGCTGACTTAACAGGCAAACAGAACAACCTTGTTTTGTTTCAAAAGGCAGTTGCATTGTAGCACATTTTATGCAAAACGTCTGTGCCAACTCATGTTTAAAACATTTATGTGGATGAAATATTTGGAATAAACAGCCTTTGTATACATCCAAATTACGGTGTTCTCTACTTAGTGAAAGTGTTGAAGAGATGACTTGCCATAAAACAGGAAATGTATTTCCATATCCAAATTAATTTGTATGCATTTACTGCAAATAACTGGGCTCACCGAGCAATAACAAATTGATCCTTACTTAAATTAATGCAATTTCTTCAAAGCATAAGTCAAGTAATGAAAAGAGACACAATTTTCTTACATAAAGATGTAAAGATGTACGGTAATTAATAAAGATAGAATATTTAGTTACATTGTGGGAAGTGTGATGAGTAATGTTGCCTTCACACCAAAAATATGAAGAGCATTGTATCATTTAGGATAATGTGGATTTGCTGATACTGTTAACTTGTGGATCTCCAACTGTTGAGGATCTGACAAGTAGATTAAATCACACACACCAAGATGATGGCTGTCATTCCTCCTGTTCAGCACCAAGAATGACCAAGCTCAGAACTATCTCCAGACTTCTAAGAGGAATATGTGTATTTTGTGACACAAATGCTTCATTGGGAACCATCTAGAGCAGGGGTTATGAACCTGGTCCCTACACTACAGCCTACTAGTGGGTGTTTCAGGATTCTAGGTGGGCTGTAGGGGGTTCTATGGCACAAGTTGAATCCTCCTTCCATCAAGCATTGGTGGGCAGTAAGAAAATTTTACCATCAAGCATTAGTGAGCGGTTGGTATAAAATGGTTGACTACCCCAATCTAGAGGAAAGGGCTCTCCAATTACAGAATGCATGTGGACAGACGTCTTTGCATACAAATAAATGCAAGTGGTGGCAGGTTCACACTGGGACCATTAGGAGAGAAGGTCCAAGCATCAGGTGGAGCCAGAGCCAATGACAGGAAGAGCCAACTGATTCTAGTTTTGTCACCATCCTCCTGCCTGCTAGGCTCTGCAGGCACATCCCAGAGACTGAGGAGGAGGAGGCTGACAGGCAGGGACACCCCCTGGATAGAGTGTAAAGTGTGGGGATATTCCATTCCACTTTAAGGAACAGGCATGATTGTTGTGTGTCACATGTCTGTTTACACTCCAGCACAGTATGCTGGGAACTTCCGTTTTGTGTATAGCTTTTGCTTATGCTGATTTTTTGCTTTGGACACAAAGGAGATCAGACATGTTTCCTTTTGTCCTGATGTACGCTGAATAAACTGCTTGTAAATATGCTCACACAGCCTCTCCTGCCACTTCTGTTTGAGCAGCGTTTACTCTGATGAGTAGCGTGCCCTAGCTTCTGAAGCTCAGGTCGCAGATTCATGCTGCACCAAGGACTGGAGTTCGCCTGGCACACCGGCCGGTGGGCTGGAGCCAGCTGGGGGCCTGCCAATCGCCCCGGTTTCCTTGGTTGCATGCCAACATAAAGAAGGCAGGCAGGCAGGTGGGGGTCTGGCTGAGGGCATACCTGTTAGTAGGTCCATTTGCTTCCACTGCATACAAAATCAACATGAAGCTGCATAAACGGGATAAAACCATTACCTAGCTCTGCCACACGAAGGCTAGCATGGTTCGTACATTTTGATTGCACCAAAAAAGCATTGCAAAGGAGTGGCATGAGAGAATAGCCTCCACTGTATGGACCCAGACTTCTGTGGGGGCACCACATTACATAGAGACCTGATTTGCATTATTCTTTCCTTCCCAGAAAAGATGAAGACCATGTGAATAAGGGCTCCCTTGCAATTGGGTGCACATTCAAGCTTGGGTCACACTGGAGGCTACTGGATATGTGGTCCATGCTATTTCAGCTTCGCCTCCAACTGAACGAGGGCAATCATGCTCTGTACCTGAACGGCAAAACAAAAACGTTGCTCATCTTCTTGCCAGTTTTTCCAGTCCTAACTTTTCACCAGCTACACAAACTAGGAGATGAGAAACTGTAGTAAACTTGAGAGATCTGGCCACTGGTGTGCATAGAGACAGAGACAAGATAATATATAGGAAGACATGCCCATGAGCATTTTCAAATCTGGGAAGAAGTATGTAAGAATAAAGCAAGCAGCTGAGGATTGATGAAGGAAGATCTGGTATAATCTATACAATAGCAACTACTGTTTGGTCGTCAATGGGCAGAAGTAAAGTTAAAATACTTCCCTTTTTTGAAGAAAAATCATAGTTTAGATAACAAACCTCAATAAAGTATGGGTAATAGCCATACTCAGAGTAAGTTCATTGAAATCAATGGACAAACTCATAGATCCATTGAAATGGACCTGAGTCCATTTATTTCAAAGGGGCAGCTCTGAATATGGCTAACATTAGGTGTCACACTGTATTCAGAAATATTGCTGTCTGTGTGTGTGTGTGTGTGTGTGTGTGTGTCTTTATCTATACACACAAACATGAAACTTTCAAAATGTATTTCAACAAAAACCCTTTCCCTATGGTCATTATCCATAACTCATTCCTTCAAAAATATGTCACTTCCACCCCTAGGTAGAAATAGTCTTAAATGTACAAATGCAGTATAACATTTTTACAGTAACTGGCAATTATTTAAAATGAAATGAAACTGCTAAATAACAATAAAGATTTACCCTTCTGAAGTTTTGGAATCCAGGCAGTCTGATTTTGTTCATTTGAGGATAATCCAAGCAAATTGCTACGGCTGCTTAAATACAAAAACAAACATGCACAAAACAAACAGCCATTATTTCTTTTTTCATCTTTCTACTTAAATAACTTATGTACAATTTTTTTTTTTAAAGGAACAGAGCAATGTGTTTTGTAGAAACAGTGGTACAAGTACATGCCTTTTATATAATCTCAAAAATCGAAACATTTCATGAACAGTGAGGAATTGCTTGAAAAAGCATGTGCCCTGCAACCACTTTCAGTGCTCTAATGGAATTGAAAGGCAAGCAATACATTTTAAAAATAAAATAAAAATAAATAAAACTTGGTATTGATTTTTGCAAACATACTGTGTTCCGAGTCTGAACTGTGGTTTATGCTCGGAAATAAAGTTTAATAGCATCTGTCCATTCTCTAGCTATCTGTAATGCAGATAACTCTACAAGAAGGAAAGCCGTCTGAGCCGCCGTTGACATTCCCTTCTGTACAAGTGGGTGGAATTGGGCTAAGCCCCATAACCAGCACAATGCCAATCTGCTTTGTGATCTGTTCCAGAAACAGCACATCAACACTTTCCCATTTGCTTAGGATTGAAGGCAAAAGCCACCGTTGAAACATGGCAGCAACTTCACATGAAAATGCTGTCTGGGTGGGGAGGGGAAAAGCTAAATGTCAAACTAAAGCACTTATGTTTTCATGAAATATTAATTTTTCATTCAGATTTTCTTGAGACTGAAGTGTGTGAGGTGTCATGCAGGGCATAATGAGAAAGGAAGGAAGGAAAGTTTTCAGAGACTATCTTCTCTGGAATCAGTTATAAGGTGCTAGTTTATTTTATTATAATATTCTTATATGTACTGGGCAGAACCCACCCAAAATTAAATACTACCAATTTGAGTTAAATAAATAATAATTATTATTATTACTTTAATTTATATAACACCCTTTGTCAAAACATCCCAGGGCAGTGTAAAACCTTAAAAACACATAACAGAATATCAATGATAAAAACATAATAAAAACAAAGTTAAAAGCATACAGACAGACGGCCTAATAATAAAACAATTATCGTAATAACAGTCCTGTCCCCATCACTTTTACAGACCACTTTTGTCTCAAAGTCGTTTACAACCATGCAAAAATGTAAATGGATAAAATCCAACAGTAAAACCAGTTGAAACAATTAAAATATCCAGTTCCATCCTAGGAACATAAAAGCCTGAGCTTGGGAGTCCTGCTTACTGCTTATTGCATTAATTTAGCTCCATCAGCAATTAAGCCTTTAGCTCTAAAGAATAAAATCCAATAACCTAGATTAGCCCCCAAGAGCCGTGATGAAAAAGTGGGTCTTTAAATGGACCTTAAAGTTAGCAAGGTAAGCCTGATCTCACTTGGAATCAAATTCTCTAATTGGGGGGCTGCTACTGAAAAGGCCTTGTTCTGGGTGCTCACCAACCTGATTGTTTTTACAGGGAGGCATTTCAACAGGGTCTTCAAATTAGATATTATGATATGGCCAGACTGACATTGCAGACAGTCCTTAAGATAACCAGGTCTCAAACCATTTAGGGCTTTAAAGGTCATAACCAGCACTTTGTACTTGGCCAGAAAATATAACTGGTGAGATAGTGGTGTAATTTGTTCCATCTGCCTGGCCCCTATAGTAGTTGGGTGGCTTCATTCAATCAGAATAATTCCCCATTGGACTTTTGGATCTAATTCTGAGAAAACATGCATAGAATTGGGCTGTAAGAAAATCATCAAAGCTGACAAATTCAAACAGACATTCTTACGGATGGAAAAGATGTATTTATGAGTTAATTTTAAACTGGATGTGTGAATTGGCTTTATACAAATTACACCAACTTGAGCAAAAAGAATCAATGCAAGCATACAGAAAAGAAATTGTATACAAGTTATAATTTTGTTATCCTTTGAGTATGTATGTGAAACTGCCAAAAGCCTATATGCACAACTACACTGTTCACTGTGATCATTCATTTGCACAGTATTCTTTTCAAGAGAATATAATTATCCCACAAAGCAGAAGTGAAGAATGCAAAAATGCATTCATCTCTCTATATTCCAACATTTATTTTTCAAAAGGGACTTTCAGAATTTCTAGAATACACCATTTTATTGTCAGTCAGTATTAGACATTAATAAAGAGATATGTTAGAAGCAACATGGCTCAACTGGGAGTTGTTGTTTTTTTTAAAAAAATGATCGTCATGACAGAATGTTTGGAATTCATTAAACTGTTGAAAGATTAGCAGCTCAAAACACCCTCCAAAACTGTGCATAAGTAGAAATAGATTACAGTACCTCTATGACATTTCAAATTATGGAACAAAGGTTCTGAGATGACCCCCATGTTTGAGATCACAAGCAGAAACAGCAGCTTTAAAGCAAATCGCCGGTTGCCTATGGCAATATAACTTCATTGGATGAAACTATGCAGTGGCTTGTTGTATCATAGGGCGGCGCTGCTGATTGACAGCAGCAGAGTTAGAGCTGTCTTAGCATCATCATAAGTAGTGGTTACCAGCATGAGCTATGTGTCACAGCTGAAATATTTACACAGCTATAAATACTGAGTACCCTCAGTAAAGACTATACAATTTCCCTCCCTCCCCCGAAATATGGGGTTACAAAACTTAAATGGCTAGGCAATAACCATTTGCAAATAATATTTGCCTATCTTAAATCATTGTGACAATGAGGCAATGGACTCTGAACATTTAGGAATTGAGTTATTTTCATACCAAGGCTGTGATTCTATATTTACTCTACTGGGAGGAGGTCCAATTGTGCTCAATGGGCCTTATTTCTGACTAGACTTCCAAGTTTGCACTGCATGTGTTATTGCTGTCATAAATATTGTTGTTGTTGTTTAGTCGTTTAGTCGTGTCCGACTCTTCGTGACCCCATGGACCAGAGCACGCCAGGCACTCCTGTCTTTGTCATAAATATTACTGGTCCAATAATGTCAGGAGGAAAAGTGGAAAGCATTTGTTCAACTGGGATACAACGTCCACATGTAGATATAGAGGACTAAGAACACAGTGTTTTGAACACGTTTTTTCTAAAATGTGTCCCCGTCCTTCCCTGCCTTGCCACTGCATCCCTGGCCCCCTCACTAAATGGCCACCAGGCCAATGTTGGAGAGGATGTGCAGGCAGGCAGCACAACCCATCCTCATGAATCCTCTGTGCCCTCCAGTGAGGGCTGGGCTGGGGCAGCAGGTTTTGTTCACTCTTCATGTCCCACCTCTGGTCCCACCCAGCTCATGTGCTTGTACGCCCTGGGCACCAGCAAAGGTTGCAACACCACTGACTGTCTCTCTCTGCTCCTGCATGCTGAGTAACTGCCTATGTGCATCTCTGTGTTGCAAACTTTCTCATCTACATCTAAGCACACAAGCAAGTAGCCAAATTACAGCTTATCTGTTGAGTCTAATACCTGTGATCTAGTCACAAGGCTTAGTTACAAGATAGCCTACCATACCCAGTGAAAATTTACTTGCTATATGTCTAAAGCTTATTTTACAATACAATGCAATTAAATACAGCATTTATGTACAATTAAACTTGTAGATTCGACAGGCCCGCTGACTTCAAGGGGACTTCTGATATATAGAATTGTGCTGTTAAATAATTAAATGAACACATTCACCATCAGAATAGTTTCATTTAAATTATGGATACATAGCAAGTGAGATTTCCTTTTCTAAATTGTAGTAGAATTCTGTTGTCAGCAAATTGAAAAGTTGCACTGGTTATATAAAATTGTAATTTTTAATGTATTTTTAATCTTATGTTGGAAGTTGCTTAGAGTGGCTGTGGAGACCCAGCCAGATGGGCAGGGTATAAATAAATTATTATTATTAATTATTATTATTATTAGCCTGACTTAAAGCACAATAAGAGCTCAAGATTATTCTTTGTACCCTTTCAAAACGAATTGCAGTAGAGATAAATATGAATTGCTATTCCAACCATTTCAATACATTACCCAATGGATAGCTTTTGTTTATCTTTCTCACGTTCCATGGCTCTACTCAGTGATCCAACCTCGGTAAATACATCACTTAGCCACATTTTCTCTATCAAAAGTAGAAAGGGGAAATGTTTTTTTTAAAAAAAATAATTAACAATGATAGGAGAGTTGCACCAAATGCAGTAGTTGATATTGTTATTCCAAGTTGGAAACCGTTTAATACATTTCATAAAGAAGCTACCGACATAAGAACAAACTGCCAACTCAGGCAATTCACATATGTAGATGTACAATTAATTATGGATTCAGACCACTAGTCAAGTAGGTCACACACACAATTTCTTTATTATATATTTGTAAAGCAAACCATTTTTAAACGTAAACAGCTTCAGAAGCTGGGCTTACAAGGGATGTATGCACAAAATTCTTGTTTTTAAATATGCAAGACCATGGGAAAAAAATTCTGGAGACTTCAACAACATGCATACGTGAAAAGAACTCCTTCTGTTCTCTTCCCACACAGAGAGGAAAGAATTCTGGATTGGAAAATTACACCAAAACTACCATGAACTTCTGTTTCATTATATTTATGGCATTCACTGAAAATGAAGTTACCATATACCCAAGCCACATCAAAAATGTGTATTATTTGAATACTCCTTGAAAGGGGCATTGCAATTCAACATTGCCCATGTTGACTCAGAAGTCAGCCCCACTTAGTTCAACGGGGTTAGTTGCCCAGTAATTGTGTAGTGTGCACCTTATCCTGACATTCTTACATATAAAGCACTCCAGTTTTTGTCAAAGGCTCCAGACAAAAATTATTCTATTCTGCTACAGGAAAGCCTGCTTGTACTTGAAAGGGAAGCTAATTGCTTCTATAAATGCATGTTACAAACCATTACCATAAAGGGCAGAGTGCCACAGATGCCATTCCTATGTCCACTATGGGCTGCACTCAGGGCAACCCTGCCTGTCATTGTGTTTTTGTTCAAGTCTCAGCTGCCTTGCAAAAGCAAAGCTGAAATTTCTGAGGTGAAGGAGTGTCAGAAAAGTGGAGGCAATGCTGGCCAGAAGGACAGATGAGAGAGAGGCGAATGAAGCCGAGTTGGCCACAGTCATGAATTAAGAAGAGCCATCCAGCTACCAGATGAGTATTACACTTGATGCTCCTGATGAAGTAGACACTATTCCATGAAAGCTTGTGCTATAATCAATTTGTTGGTCTTTAAGGTGCACAAGACTCTTTCTTGTTTTCAATTCTGCGATTAGGGGACTGCTGCTGAAAAGGTTCTACACAGCATATTACATATGCAGACATGGAAATTGACTTGTTGGATTACTTTGCATCAACCAAAGATATAGATTTATGAATAAAAGGTGTTTGTAGAAATCTAACTATAATGTATATGTCCCAATTAAAATACTTGGATATAAACACTCCTTTTGTAAATACATCAATTTGCAACTAAAATCCTTTGGTCATTTCACAACCTCTAAAACAAGATTTTTTAACAGGTGCATACAGACTCAATAAAAGTATAACAATCTTTGAGCATTAAAAAACCCCTGAGAATTTCTCAGAGCTCAACTTTTATACACAAACACACATATATACACACACATAAATAAATTAAAAGGATTTTACTTTTTGAAATATAAAGACAGCATGGAGAGAAGTAAGAGCAGAAAGGCCTCTGTGGAATACGGTTGTGTCAGCTTTTCTTCCCAGTTCTGTATTTGAGTTTCAAGCATTATGCATACTCCACGAAAAAATGTCTGTACAAACACACATACCCTTTCTCAACTATTCATAGCCAGCCTTTTTCATTTTGTCATATAGATTTCCTGTTTCCACACCTGTGGCTTGCTGGGGTAGACATCAATTGAGCTGCTCACATGTAGAACAAGAAGATAAAAAATGTCTCTCTTTGACCTAAAGCTCTAGTATATTTTTAATACACCATGAAGAGAAAAAGGCTTTATTGTCTTTTTAAACTCCACCCATTCCTGACAAGTATTTTTCACATATCTTTCTCCATGCCATTTGGGTTGGCTACACCAACTTTTCTCTTTTGTTAATCAGGCACACTAGGGCAAATGACCTGACAAAGGCCATATCTAGTTTGGCCCTTTGTCCTATTGAGTTCAGGGAATTACTCCTGAGTAAAAACACTTAAGGATGGGCTACAAGCCATAAACAAGCTATGGAAAATAATGTCTCATAATATATCAGGGAATCCCTCAAAATAAATTCTGAGCTGCTGGAAGGAACCGTGAAGTCACTTGTTATGAATAGGAGTCTGCCTAAAGGTAGGGCCAGCTTTGAGGTAAAGCGAGGTGGTCACCTCAGGCAGTACCTCATGATTTGGGGTGTCATGAAAAAGCAACAAATTATTAATGATTTATCATTCTTGTATTTTTTCTTCCAGGAAATTGGGCTTGTGGGGATTTCTTCATCAGCATAGCTTGACCAGCCTTAGGTTCATTTCTAAATGAATAAAAAATAACAAAAGTACCATATGTTTGCAGTGAGCTCCCCTTCTAAAGAAAGTTAAGCCTCAGTTAGTGCTGTCTGGGGCACTCATATGCACCAACAACACATACAAACATACAGAGATATAATTGTTAAATAGGGTAGAAATAGTGCGATGACCACCTTTGAAGCATATATGAACAGTTGCAGCAAATGAAGACAATGCTATTAACTTTCACTGAGGTTTGAATTCAGCCTAGCTGAATTATCTCACAGTAGGAAGAACATCAAAACTTGGTCAAGAGTGGTATGTCATTCTATATGAAACCATATTAAGTATATTCACAAATATATATCTCACCTTTTCCCCATCCATACTCCATCTTCGTAGGACAGGATTTTATACCGCTCAGAGACCTCCATGTTTCAGAGTGTGGTCTTAATGGCAACATGTCTAATATTTCTTCCAGAGAGGTCTTGTTAAGAGTTTTTGCTGAATGGGTGGGTTTAGTGCCCACATAAGATGATAATTTAGGTGGTGCACTAGTAGCTCTTTCTGACTCCCCAAGGATTTTGCTATGAAAATTCTGGTCACTCATATTTTCTGTGGGCTCCTCGAGGATATCGCTAAGAATTGGGTGCATCGCCATGTTTTCTGTTGACAAAACAAATGAGTAACACCATCACCAATTTTAGTTTGAAATCATCCCTCTTGCTCTGTGCTACTTTCAAAGCCATTACTCTTCAAATGTTTAAGTACGGAACAGTTTTATTTAGCTATAAACCAGGAAAAAAGGGGGGAGAGACATTCAGAGTTAAGCCACACATTTGGCTCTCAATTTCCTGGCAGCCAATGAAAACAAAGAAACATACAAGATAACATAGTTTCCTTGTCCAACAGTAAGAAGCTCACAAACACATTTGATGTAACAACAAAAACGTCAGCTGTTGCAAAAGTACATGGTGATTTGGATTACCTCCTACATGCTTTGAAAGAGAAAAGTGCAAGCATCTTCTCTCTTAACTTTCATCCAATTTTGTAGGGTACAGTGGTACCTCGGGTTACATATTCTTCAGGTTACAGACTCTACTAACCCAGAAATAGTACCTCGGGTTAAGAACTTTGCTTCAGGATGAGAACAGAAATTGTGTTGCGGCGGCGGCAGCAGGAGACCCCATTAGCTAAAGTGGTGCTTCAGGTTAAGAACGGACCTCCAGAACGAATTAAGTACTTAACCTGAGGTACCATTGTATTTGCGAGCCCATGCACTAAACCCTGTCCCTGGAGCCTCCCCCCCCCCCAAAAAAATGAGACATGACAACAATATATGGGTTTTAATTAGGCCACAACTTTGTTGAAATTCAGGTGTAGGAACCTTGGCATAGGCCTTGGAAGGTATCCCTCTCAATGTTCAATGGAAATGTTCCAGACAAATCTCAGTCACATCCATTGAGGACACATATTATCTTATAGACTACCATTACATGATTTGCAATAACCTTGGATTGCTTAATCAGCTCTGTGTACACTTTTTGGAATCTACATGTGTAAGAAGCAAGGGTCATTAATCTTCATTAAGAATAATGCTAGTGTCTGTGGGCTATAAATACCTATGTGATGTATTAGGTTTCCTTCTGCATGCTTATTTTACATCTTTATTCATCTGTCCTAGTTTAATAATTATATGTTAAAAATAAATTATAACTTTACACAGATACAGAAAGGGGGGGAAATTGAATAAGTATTCATCATTTCCCTTTCCAAGTTCTTTCTTTCTTTCAAATATATTAATTACATTGGTTATGTACAGATCTAGCAAGTCTTTATAATTGTTGGAGACACACACAAACTACATTAAAATACCCCACTACAAGAGTAGCCATAGTTTCTCCTGAATTCAGCACTTCCAAAGATTGGGAGGAACCTTAAGGATGCAATCTGAAATCTTATATTGAGAAGACTGAACATTATCTGCCTACAGTATGAAAGCGTATTTTATTGTTTCCACTGGTGTCTCTTCACCACAAAAACCTGCTTTTACACCACTGACTTTCCATGTCGTCATCTTTTAATCATGGGTACTCTGCCAACATTTCAATTTTGAGCAGGGCACTGCTTAAACCAAGGATGGGGACCTGTGGCCCATCAGCACTAACTAGCATGTTCAATGGTCAAAAATGATGGGAGCTGTAGTCCAACAACATCTGGAGAACCACAGTTTCCCATCTCTGGTTTAAACACTATTCCTTACTATAAACTAAGAGATATGATATATGGGTTGGATCTAGACTTATTCTTGCTTAAACTGGACCTGCCAAAATAAATGGCAATTAAATTATGGCTAAGGCTGTACTCTTAACCCCACTCACCTGCAATTAATTCAATAGGACTTACTTCTGAGTAGAAATGGTTAAGATTATGCAGCAGGTAAATCATATCTTAAGCCCCATTAATTTAACTAGGGCTGGATCTACACAGATATTTTAAAAACGCTATGAAAATGCTATAAAATATATACCGTATATGCAATTTGCCATTGAGCACTGCAGTGCTGTCTGATGTCACATTTTTATAGCACACTTATAATGTTATAATTTCAACTGTGTAGGTGGGTTTGTAGCAGTCATATTTCATTTTTCCTAAACTTTATATTAGTCATCTTTCACTGTTTCTTAATTTTATTTTCCACAGGAAAATAAAGAACTGGAAAATGTTCAGAATAAAATCCTGCTCAGAGGTAAGTCCCATTGCGTTTTCCCAGGTCATTGTGATTTGGATTACAGACTGAGAGTGCATTCCTATGCCCACTTACCTGGGAATAAACTTCACTGAAATCCAAAGGACTTACTTCTGAGCAGACATACGTAAGATTGCACTGTAAGTAATTAAACTGGAGTAGCCCAGCAAGAGCAATCAGTTGCAATTACATTATTGATTTTTTTTCCACTCTAAAAACACCACAGCTATGAGTCAACAGTTGACAAATTGGAATTTTGAGTACAGTATTTCTTGTCTCCATTATTTTTCTTGTAATACTACAGCTGACAGTGCTGTCTTTGTTCATTTTAAAACAAGTGTGTTTTAAATGGCTAACACCATAGCTTAGACTGATAAATAGAATGTGTATGTTTATCCACTTTTGGACACATTTTCCTTCTTGTTATCCCTCTTGACTACACCCTGTATATCAGTGGTGGGAAGCTGTGGCTCTCCAGTTATTGTTTGACTCCGGCTCCCATCAGTCCAGCCAGTATAACTACTGGTCAGGAATGATGGAAGTTGTAGTCAAGCAACATCTGGAGGGCTGCAGGTTGCCTGCCCAGCTTAATAGCTTTTGACAAATTAACCTCTACAGTAAAGATTATTGTCTGAAATACAGGCAACCTATAGACAATATCTGATTAGATTTTAACCCTCCCGTGCCATCTTTTGTATTCCCATTTTGGCAAAACAGAATTTGCAAGGCCTAATTTGGAAAATTCAAAAGCAAAGATGCCTGGCGTAAGTCTTCAGCATCTTGGCAGAGCTCTCCTAGTTTCTTGAAACAGGAGCTGGTTGCGGCACAGCTACTGTTGTTTGTCGCAAGTCAGGTTTGATTCTGTTTTCTTTTGATTTCACCAAATAAGAAACATATGCTTCACAAACTTGATTGCTTTCGCAATTCTTGTTCTAATAATTTGTAAAGTAACAATAGGTTTAATTCAGCTGTATAGTTACACTTTTCCTTACCTGTTCTTCCCTTTCCTGACCAATACCGAAAATAATTACTTCTTCCAAGTTCACCTTAAGTGGAGTATGGCATACTGCAACATGGCGATGCCTATATTGTAATCTGAAAATGAAGGAGAATAGATTAGAATAATTCCTTTTTATGCTCGTCAGAACACAGATCTTTAAGATTTAATGACAAATTTCCTTCTGCATTTGAAATGTCAAGGTTAACCATGGAAAATAGTCTTGAGCACAATTACCTTTGTACTCTAGGCTAGAAAGTAGGTCAGTTTTCGTCAGCTGATAATAGATGAAACTATGTTTTTTGGAGCAGGGGGTGTTGCCCAGTAATTGCAAATTATGATAAAACAGCCCAGTGGTTTGACACTCTCAATCAGTTTTGGTTCACCTGCATATTCAATAGCTGTCATAAATTTTCATTTCACCAATCCCTTTCTCTAGAAAATGCCTCACTAACATTTGCATGCATTTGTTCTGGTGTAATATTAACAAAAAGGCTTTCAGACAAATATTTGGAAGCTTGGACAGGGGGCACATGGAAAAGAGCCATGATCCTGCCCAACCTCAACTGTAGCCACAGAGAGAGCGAGAGCGAGAGCGAGAGCGAGAGAGAGAGAGAGAGAGAGTACTCTGACAGCTGAGGTACATACTAGAAACCCCAGATCTGACCAGCTATCTCTCCCCACATTTTTAATGGGGAACAGCTAAAGTACCATGTCAATTTGCTCCTCAAATTTCTCTTGTTAAGGCAGCTTTGCCTTTCATTTTCATTTTTTATAGAAGGTGGAGGGAGCTGTCCAAGGGAGCAGGCATTTGACCAACATTTTAAAAATAGATTAATCAATTTATTAAAGCCTTTGTTGCTGTATTAGTGGTGCTCCAACTGTAATCACTGGAACCAATGTTCTGTCAGTTGGACTGATAAATTTGATTCTGGTATATGGAAGGTTTGGTTTCCTTCTTTAAAAAAAGAATAGGTCTTGATTATTAAGTTATCTTTCACTTCCTTCTTGAAAAGGCACATATTGAGGGCCTTTTTGGTAATATGTGAGTGTATTTAAGTTTAATTGGGTGAAAGATAGATGATCAATCAATTAAACATTCCTTGTTTTATGTGGATATTGCAAAAGGCTCTCGTTCATGGAAAGAGAACACAATTCCATTTTCCCCCTGAATAAATCAGCATTCTCACTACCTTCAACGCCCAGTGTTATTGGCCCATAGGATGATTTTCTACCAGATCAAAGGAACACACTGCTCAACTGAAGTGGTGTAGTAAAGTTCCTGTCATCATGAATAAAAGTGCTTTTTAAGAGATTGATTGTCACTAATAACTTTGCTTTGAGAGAATCCGCATCCTAAGTGTCACTAAGGGAAATGATGACAGGCTTTTGGGGAACTGGGGATAACGTGTGTTTTTAGAGCAGGGATTCAGAAAATGAATACTTAGAATAACTTCTGCTCTTGTTGACACATTTTCACAGATCATAGCAATGAGGAAAGAAGAGTTTGTTTCCTTCAGACATACCCAAATCCCAGTGCAATCAAGTCATGTTGAATGATATCACAGCCTATTGCTGGAAATTCAGTTCCTATTATTGAATTATAATCCCCCTTCGAGGCCTCAATCAAAACTGGGGATTTTTTTGTATTAAGTACATGACATATCTGACACGCAAAGTATAAATGGCATCCACTTACCAAACACCCCTTCTTCTCAAGGGGCCGACATTATGTTATGTTATCACAAATCCACAAAACATGCAAGAGACCACTTATTTAAGAATAGAGAGTTCAGAATTCTACAGAGCTGAGAACATAGCATGAATACACTTTATTTATAGGATATTGTAGATCAAAACAGCATTTTTGGAAATATAAAATATATTATGA